CCAGCAACCTCGCAACCCCGCAGCCTCGCAACCACAGCCCCGCAACTCGCAGCCGCACCCACAGCCCCGCCGTACTCCACAGCAAGCCGCAGTCCACAGCCGCAACCCACAGCAACGTCTGCCTCCACCGCCGCCCACAGACTCAACCCACAGGCCACAGCCTCTGTTTCTGCCATTAACAACCGGTCCACCGCCGGGGCCAAAACCAGTCCAATTTGACTGGTTTCTCTAATCCTTCGTGATTTCTGGTAAGTCTTGTCTCTTTTCGTAGGTAAATTATACTAAATGACAAGAGTTCAGAACCTGCGATGTTTCGGCCCCCAAATCTGGTTTTAGGTTTCATTGCTGCTTACGGTTCAAAAACTTAACATGTGATGTGAGAAGGACTTAAATGTCTGGTGACCGTCTTCTACTTGCAAGGCTTTTAAGGATTTTGCATAATTTCTGTAATTTCTGTAATTTGCATAATCAATAATGACCCGTAATTTCTGTTCTGTAGTAGTTAATTTTTTAATTTTGTAATGTTTTTACATTCCAAAATGGATAGCTTATGCAATTTCAGAAAGAAGACTGTTGTCTTGGAAATCCAATTTAAGTTTGATACGTATAGACGTTATATTACACTTCAATTTTCTCTTTTTAATGTTTTTGACTGTATTAATTATGAAGAATCCAAAAATTTTGCCATTCAAATGCCAAGTTGGGTAGCATCATGTTATATGGGACTGTTATGTTAGTGCTTCAAAGCTAAAGCTGCCAAATTTGGTTTCCAATTAAGAGTTTTCATCTTAGAGTTTAACCTCAACTCTGCAAAGCCTCTCCAAAGGGTGGTTCATTTTTTACTCACAAAGCCTTACGGGCTTAATTTGGACAGCATACTTCTCTTTTTTTTTTTGCCCTTTCTTTAGTTTCTTTAGTTGTTTGCTACCCACTAAATCAATTAACTAATAATTTATTAGCGACTAAATTAGTTACTCTTAAGCTACAACTAATAAATTTATACATTCAACTTTCTATATTATAATTGACACTAAATATGTAAAGAATGTAACCCCCTAAAGTATAAGTTCATCACACTTTAGTTCTTAATCTAGTAATTTATCCACTCATGAAGATGGCTTTTAAATATATCTTTTGCATTTTAAAATTGAGATTGGTTTCCCATGTGCCATTGAGAATTAGAAGAAACTAAGGATATATTATTGGCAAACTTTTTTTGCTAAAATTGTTTGTTATTCGTTGCATAAATGGTACTTCAGGTTTTATTGCTAATTTGGATTCATGCATTTGTAGAAATGGCGAAAAGGAAGCTGAAAATAGTTATTAAATATCATATGGACTTGACTGCATATATTCCTGCATATGTTCCTTATGGACTTGACTCAAGTATATTTTTCCTTTTAAATAATAGGTATGTACAGTCCTCCATTTCATTCACACCAAGGATCGTCAACAAGTCCTATTATGGAGGTTGGAAATGAAGCTGTAGAACAAGAACTTGAGGTGGAGTCTAATGCTGATGAGATGAGCGAAGAAGAGCTGGACTTAGATCACTTAGATCAGCCGAATGAAGGAACCACTCGATGTTTCCGAATCATCTACAATTGAAGAAATTGATCTTCCGGACATTTGAAGGCTGTTTTTTGGAATATGTGATGCTGTTTCTTGTGATTTGTAAAGCTGGACTTGTGAAGCTGTACTTTTTCTTGTGATTTCTGGAGGGGTTGTACTTTTTCTTGTGATTTCTGAAGTTGGACAATTTTTAAGCTATGTAGCAGTGTTTTTCATGGTTATTTGGCTGTAGTTTGTGCGTTTATTTGGCCGGCCATAACCTGTTATGGTATATTGGCTCTAATGAATGTTGTCTCGAATGGAATTAGACTGTAGTTTGTGTATTTGTTTTGTTTTATTCCTAAAGTTTGTGTTGTATGGATGTTATGGTCATATTTGTCTTGGATGAAATGTGGTTAGAGTTTGTGTATTGTTGAATGTGAATGCCATTGGTTGCCAATCCTAATATTTTTTGTTGATTTTGGATAGCCTAAATCTGGATATGCTGGAGTAGAACTTTGTAAACTGATTGTTCAATTGCGAAATCGAGCCTCAAAATCGAGCCTCGAGCTTCGAACTCGAGTCTAAAATCGAGCCTCGAACTCGAGCCTCGAGCTCGGATAGATATTTCAAGCTCGAGCTCGAGCTCGTCCGAGCCTGGCTCGTTTTTGATAAACAAGTCGAGCTCGAGCTCGAGCTCGAGTCACATTTTCATTTTTCGAGTCGAGTTCGAGTGCATATTATAGCTCGTCTGTGCTATCGAGCGAGCTCGAGCTTGGCTCGAATTCTTCACGAGTCGAGCTCGGCGCTCAGATACTCGGCTCGACTCGGCTCGATTAACAGCACTACTTGGGGTCTTCAACCATAGATAGTGCTGAATAAGTACACCCAAGATGCAACATCGTTGTTGTGTCAGAAGGAAAAAGTATTAAAAAAAGGGTAAGTGCATCTCATTTTGGTTAATGAATTGTTTTTCATCTCAAATTGATGGTCCAACTATCACAAGTGTCATGACTTCTACCCATATCTTGAGGTCCCAAATCTACATTAATTATCTATGTCAAAGAATTTTTGTTCATTTATTTTACCCAGTAAACCAATTTCTCATCAATATATATAGCTCATTTCTATAGATATATTGATATATGAATAAGCTAACATACGAAAATCATGACTCTAAATCACATAGTTAATTTGGATGCAAGACGCTCCATTGACGGAGGTGGTTAAGAAAAGTTTGATGCACGTATAAGTGAGATGTTAGGTTTGATCCCAAGAAATTGATTAACGAGAGCAATAGGATTTTTGGCAATCCAATAAAGATAATAACAAACAAATAAAAACAAATAGAAAGACACGTAAATTTATATGGTTCAGTCGAATTGATCTACATCCACGAATGAAGGAGTAGCGGACGAAGGGATAACAGATTTACTATAACGAAAGGAGAGTACAAAAGAGAGCTACAAAATTCTATGAAATAATTCCAAAACTGAAAGGCACCTAAAATTGAAAATATAAAAGAGTCTAAATAATAAAAAATGCTCAAGGGTTCAAAGGTCTACTAACTTGCTCTTTTAGTTTAATGCCTTATTTAAACCTCTTTTAGACTAGAGCATAAGCCACCACCAAAGACTTTAGGTCTTGGCAGGGTGAGAGATCAAGGGTTCAAATCTTGCCTCTCATCACTTGCCACAATACGTGGTTTTCTCGAATCCATACGGGTGCATAGTATACCCATTTGATCCGATGATGGTTCAGTCTCCATCGATTCTCCCGTAGACCCAATTGGACTTGCCCCCTTAGATTAGGCTGAACAGGACTAAGTGTAGAATAGATAAGTGACGAATGACAAAAAAAAAAAAAAAAAAAAAAAGACCAAGGCATTGACGCCCCCCCCCCCCAAACATCTCTAGCCTGGTACTTTTAGCACACTTAGACTCACTTAAGTTACTGTATTTATAATCACCAAAAAGAGAGATTTTATTATAAAACTCCAGATATGAGATATAAAGGCAAACTCAACACGAGACACTTTAAATAGTTACATGATTAATTTTAGACGAAAACTAGTTCAGCAACCAAATTGAGATAATTTAATATGATGATGTCTGTTGGTGCATTTTACCAACAAATGAATATATTATACAAGATCCAGATTGGCCAAGTATTTTACCGGTATTGAAAATGAAAACCAAAAACTGATAAAATTTCTTATTGATGGCATCCTGATACATGTCATTCTCCCTTTTCTTTTAGCACGATAAAAACATGTTCGATCTAAATAGTACCAAGGCGTAATAGGTGTAATCATTTTCAGACGAAAGTTACCGTATACCTTCCGGTCCTTATCGTTATGAAGTTCAATGGACATGAGTGATCACGTCTACTGCAGGAGCAGCCGTATAATACAGCAATCGAAGTTAACTTCAATTCGTTACAATTGACATGTATTGCTAAGCTCGAAAAAAGATCTCAGGAATGATGTTATGATCCATTGGCCCCCCCCCATCAAGCCATGGTCCCTCTCTAGATTTGGCTATGTACGATTGCCCCCTCCCTCTATTGACAGTTTTACAAGAGTAAAGGTTATTTTGTTGATGATTTATTTGCCTCAATGGTAGAGCCCATATGTATATCTCGTGAATATAGGTGGTCTGTCTTGTTTTACAGCAGACTATAGTACTCAATAAGCTGATGTTCATCAGTTAGATTATGATATTCTATATATACTAAATATTTTACCTTCTCTGGCCATGTCAAAACATTATCTACTCTTTTCTTAAAAGGGTTTTTTATAGTTACTTTCCTTGGATCAGCGCATTCTTTAGAGAGGGTAAAGCAATAATGGTTGAAATGAAACCACATAGTTGTTGCAAACTTTTCTTATAATTGCTTCTTGAAATATCTCTATACTTCTACCATTTCCTTCATTTGCGGGACAGTCAAAATGTAAAATAAAGAAAAATAAAAACCTATACTCCAAATAAAAAAAAAAGGAACAAAAGTAAATGGTTGTGAGACTTTGTGATTACAATTATTTGTATCCAATTTGGCCCCTTTCACTCCAACGTCAGCATCTTTTGTTTGACAGTACACCGAAATGAATCTCTGATTAATGGTCGTGTTCTGAAGTATTAAATGCTATGAAGCTGAATATAGCAGGTTATACAACTATAACAAATTAATCCGCAAGACAATATAACCGAGTATTTTTCCATTTAGCAAAGGGAACAAAGGCGACTAAACTGATCCAAAACCAAGATACCTAAACTTTTGTCTATTTTTCTTTTTATGGTGAAGCAAATACATGGACAATTTGGCACTAAAGAATCTGGTAAGAACCCTACTATTTCTCAGTGACAATCTTTTTTTTAAAAAAAAAATTAGTAATAGTTTCCCACTTATATCTCGATAACAAAAAGTCATTTCAGTTTTACTTCTTTTTTTTTTTTTTAAAGTATAAGTGAGATGCTAAGAATCATTGACAGGAAAGCACTGGCATAGTAGCATGCCTCTCTTTGTCCCTGCCTCCCAGCCCAGCTGGTCATAGTATCCCATAGGTCAGTAACCAGAAGGCAAGTACAGTTGCCGATAAAATAAAGTTGACACGAATCACTTGATCACATTGAGTCATGCTTAAGACAAATATATATATATATATCAGATCTCCAGCTTGATCAATATTCTTCAAAATTAATCAATTAAATGCGTATCATAGCTAAAGAAATTTCGAATCGTCCAAAAATGTGTGATCCATACCTCGCTTTTTGTTCTATAAAATCCCAACAGAAATGTCTTAGTAATGAAATGGCTGGTAGTAACAACACCCAAAACCACGGTTTAAATGGCCTAAAACAACCACAAGTGGTGGTTGTTATGGTGCCTTTTCCATTGCAAGGCCATCTCAACCAGCTTTTACACCTCTCCCGCCTCATCTCCTCCTACAACATCCCCGTCCACTACGTCAGCACCGCCACCCATAACCGCCAAGCCAAGCTTCGTGTCCATGGCTGGAATCCTCTTTCCAAAGCCAATATTCATTTCCATGAATTCCCAACAGCAAATTTTCCCAACCCCCCTCCTAATCCTAATACCTCCCTTAAATTCCCCGCTCATCTTCAACCCTCTTTCGATGCCTCGGCTGACCTTCGAGGGCCTATTTCCGCTCTATTCCGTGCACTTTCGGCCAGAGCTAAAAGGGTCGTCATTATCAATGATTCTCTCATGGGATCAGTGGTTCAAGATTTTGTTACTGTATCAAATGCTGAGTCCTACACCTTCCACAGCGTTTCTGCTTTTTCTATATTCTTTTTCATGTGGGAAAGGATGGAAAACCCTTTTCCTGTTGATAAAGAAATCTTAAAAATCCTTCCTCCCATGGATGGCTGTTTTACTCCTGAATTCAGTAATTTTGTGAAAGCACAGCACAACTTTGTGCAATTCAATTCTGGCCGCATTTACAACTCATGCAAAGTCATAGAAGGTCCATATCTTGACTTACTTTCAAAGGAAGAGATAAGCCTAAATAAGAAGCAGTGGGCTCTTGGACCATTCAATCCAGTGAATATTATGCACCAAAAAAGTGGGCCAAAGGAACAAAATAATGAACGTCATAAATGTCTCCAGTGGCTTGACAGCCAAAGTAATAACTCGGTAATATTTGTGTCCTTTGGTACCACAACTTCGATTTCTGACGAACAAATCAGAGAACTTGCCTTTGGCTTGGAAAGAAGTGCCCAAAAGTTCTTGTGGGTGCTGAGGGATGCTGACTCAGGAGATGTTTTTGTTCAAGAAACTAGAAAACTGGAGCTGCCAAAAGGGTTCGAACGAAGGGTTGAAGGCAGGGGCTTGGTGGTGAGAAACTGGGCACCCCAGTTGGAGATTTTGGGGCATTCAGCAACTGGGGGTTTTATGAGCCATTGTGGATGGAATTCTTGCATGGAAAGCATAACCATGGGAGTGCCCATGGCAACATGGCCTATGCATTCAGACCAACCAAGAAATGCGGTGCTGATAACTAAGATACTGAAAGTTGGTCTGGAGGTGAAAGACTGGGCTCACAAAGATGAGCTTGTGACATCCTCAAAAGTCGAGAAAGCCGCTAGAATGTTGATGGCGGAGGAGGAAGGACAACAGATGAGGAAGAGGTCAGCGGAGATGGGGGCAGCTGTCCGGACATCTTTGGCTGAAGGTGGCGTAACTCGGATGGAGTTGGATTCTTTCATTGCTCATATTACAAGATAGACTTGAAAAATTAAGGCATTGTATACTGCTAGATTATTGCTTGTTTTATTGGTTTGTAATTGTAATTTGAATTCATCAATTTAGAAGCCAAATTTAGTGTACAGTTAGAAGGTATTTGTCATGGTAAATGTGTAATTGAAAGTGGAAACACTTCCTTTTAGGCATCCTTCAGAATGTCACATTTCTTTATAACCCTACTGATTAATGTGCATGCAAATCTGAAGTTTGGGTGCTATAGAAAAGAAAGGAAAATCGTTCAAAACGTCTATCACATTTTGTAAAATAACTCTTTTCATTCTTCATATTTAAAAATATAATTTTACGTCCCTTATAAATTCATCTTGATCAGATTTGGTCCCTACCTAGGTTTTCGACTAGTTTTTGGTCGGAATCTACCAGATGCCTTGCACGTGATCATTTTTTAAAAGCAAATTTGTTAAATCAAATTTTACATAATTAGATTCACAGTCCCTCATATTTTATAAAATAAATTTTTTCGTTCCTCATATTTCACACAATGAATTTTTTATTCTTCACATTTTTCAAATTAGATTTTTTCATCCCTCATTGATCATGTGCGCGAATAATTCTTTCTAAACCCATATATATATCTATTTGATTTCACCTGAGCAGTACGAGTAGCTTGTAATATAATCAAATAGAGATATATTACATGTTATTCATACTGTTCAAGTGAAATCAAATAAATATCTACATGGGTTTAAAAAAATTATTAGTTTTTCACTCATATTCATTTCATTTTATTCGAAAATTGAAAACAAAGAAAACATTTAATCTTAAGTATTATCGAGTATTTATATCGAACTAAATTTGGACAAAAAAACAAAGGAAAAGTATGACAAAAAGAAGTAATTAATTGGCACTTTCAAATTTTAAAACAATCACAAGACAAGTAATTCAACTGTTGGTTTTAAAAGTGGCGAGTAGAAATTTCATATTTAAATTACAATTTGTTAGCACGACTATAGAATTCAGGTTAGTACCCATTAATTGGATGGTCTTATTATACATCTCAATAAATAAATTATTATCAAAAAAGAAAGGTCACAAATATTGAATAAGTTTACATAATGAAATCATCTAGATATATACATGGATTTAAAACAAAATTGTTAATTTTAACCCCCTGTATATATCTGTTGAATAGCATATATACAACTACAATTAGTCTGTTTAACTAAAATCAAATAGAAATATATTACATGTTATTCGTACTGTTCAAGTGAAATCAAATAAATATATACATAGATTTGAAGGAAAAAACCTATTCGTACACATAATCAATTAGGGATGAAAAAATCTATTTAAAAAAATGTGAGAATGAAAAAATTCATTTTATGAAGTATGGGGGACGAAACAATTCATTTTGTAAAATATTAGGAACGAAAAAATTTATTTTGTAAAATGTAAGGGACTATGAATTGGATTATATAAAATTTGATTTGACAATTTTATCCTTAAAAATGATCAAGTGCAAGGTACGTGATGGATTCCGACAAAAAACTAGTCGGAAATCCAGGTAGAAACGAAATTTAATCAATGTGAATTTGTAAGGGACATAAAATTACACTTTTAAAAATGAAGAACGAAAAAAGTCATCTTGCAAAATGTGAGGGATGTTTTGAACGATTTTTCCAAAAGAAAATGTCTTGTATCAAAAGTCCATCCGTCTATCCCCTTGCATTAATGTGGATCTTGCAAACGTGGAACTCTTTAATTGAACGTTGAAATGTCAGTATCTTTGTACATTTTTCTTTTGTAATTTTAAGGGCAATAGTTTGACAAATTCGAAAATTCTCCTATTTTGAATGGATCCTCAACCTAGTTACTGAAACAACCAAGTCCAAGTATCGAAAATTAGAGTTCCTCACTTTAAAAGTCTCACCATTCTGTGTTAATGTGGTTATACTCTTACTAATCACGGTGTAAAAAAATTGACTTAACCATTTGTCTAAAAATTGTTTAAAAATTACTAATTACTAATTACTTAACCATTTTGGCACAATTACAAATTAAAATAAATTCTCAGATTAAGCTAGAAAATGAAGTCTTTCCGGGAGAGAGGAACAATATGAATGTCCAAAGGTGAAAGTCAAGGTATACTAATTAACTAAGGCTCTAAAGGAATGTAATATCAACAAATAATCGATTGGTTTGATTTCTTTTACATTTTCTTTGGTTATAGCTTTTTATTTTATAGAAAGATACAGTAACAGCATTTCAGCTCCAAAGTTTAGATACTAATTGGATTGCATATTTTAAGAGTGGTTTTTAGCAAAATGTATCATAAAAGTTTTGGAAACATAATGTATGTAATGTAAAAAGAAAATTAGAAAAAAATTTAAAAAAAGTACTTAGATTGCTTGCGAAGGGAATATCTCCAAAAAAAAAAAAAAATTCACAAAGACTAACAATTCAAACAACAATAGCATGACATAAGCTTTGCATGTTGTATACGACGCAGCCTAGGCAAAATATACTATTCTCTCCATCCAATAATTTAAGTCGATTTTTAGAAAATTAAGAGCTTGTTTGGTACCTGAGTTTTTTAAGTGTTAATTTTAGACAAAGTTTTTTTCTTATTTGAGCTAAGGGCACCCTAAAAAAATTCCCAAAATTTTTAACATATACAATTCAAAATACTCAAGTTTTTTTTTTTTTTCTTTCCTTTCTTCTTCCTGTCCCACCTCAGTCCACTATTGCTGGCCAATACCTCCATCACTGACCAGCAACTTCGGTGTTGATGCCGGCAGCCATCTCTCTCTCTCTCTCTAAGGACTACTAGTGCCATTGCCAATCACCAGCGAAGGTGCTGGTGACGACGGCAGGTAGTAAGGAGGGAAGGAGGAGGAAAAGTAGCGACAAGTTAGGGGAAGAAGAAGAGGAGAGGAAAGAAAAGAAAATGAAAGCAAAAAAAAAAAAGTTTTACACATCTCAAAAAAATTTTCTACAAATTTTATAATAAGTTATAGCAAAACTTTATACAAACATCTAAAAAACTCATCATTCAAATAGGCCTCAACTTTTTAAGGGAACTTATAATCATTTTATTTGGATGAAGTGGATTTGGGTGATTTTACAATATGATCCTCAAATTCAAACTTTAGAAGTATAAGGAATGCATTGATATATAGGTGGAAAAAGCTATTTTTTTTTTCAAATGGCAAAGTGGAAAAACTAATAAAATGTTATATTGACTTTTAGAGAATGACCCTTATTATGAAACATCCAAAAAGCGAACATATATAACATTAATAATGAAAAAGAGGGAGTACATAGTATACCTAATTTTCTAGTGTAGGAGAAACTAAACTTCCGTCTTGTTCGGTCATGTAAATTGATGAAAGTTTGGCATAAACCAATATATTTTTAGTATAATCATGAGTTTTATACTAACTTAGTCGTAAGTTTACGCTTCATCAAAATTGTATCCGTTTACAGTGAATGTTATATGAATTACACAACTGGATAAAATTCAAGCCGGAGAAGCTCCAAATCCAGGAGATGCGGGGGAGCCACAGGCTAGGCTAGAGATACCAGCACGGGGAAGCCGAGGTGCTGCCTCTAAATGTAGCAAAAACCCGCCATTTTTATGCACAAGTATGGGCAGCATGCAGGTGCATTTATTTAACCAGTGCGGCGGCACATTTGGCGACTTTACGGCCAGCACAAAGCTCTGCTAGACAGTGAGAGTGCCTTTTCGGCATGCAAACCTTTTAGACTTTTTGGTTTTATGGAACATCTCAAGAGTTAAAAGACTTGTAAAGACACGGACAAAGGGATTAAGGAGAGGATTTGAGAGTTCGAGTTAGATAGTCGAAATTTGCTGAGCTATACTTGTGTCCATTGTCTTGCAAGCCATGGTTCGCTTTCTTAATGATATATAACTTTTCAAATCAATCTAAAACACACAACTTAGTCTTGTCTGGTTCATATATATGTATCTTGATTCCCCAATACTGTTGTATGTATGTACTTTCAGATACGAAAGAGCAAGAGAAATCACGGAGTTAATTGATCGATTTAAAGCTCTTGGTGTCAATCAAGAAACTTCAGTTACTTAGGTACAACATCTCAATCATTAGTCAGACAATACAAGCCTGATGAATCTAATAATCTAAAGCTTGTTACTTCATTTAGAAGCTTAATTATTGTTGAATTATTTCCAACAACGCCCCAAAATTAGTGCTTACATCTGTCTAGTTTGGCCTTTTCTTAGGCACGTCTATTCATATGTGTGGGATCATCATTTTGTGTCTCAAGTTACTATATATATATAGTGAATTTAGACACCATATCAAACTTTTTTTGAGAAAAAAGGAAATATTTTCTGACAGTTTAAGTGGTCGACAATAATTTTAAGGTTTTCATATTGTCCTTTTTTTTCTCCATTTTTAGGTTTTCCAATCTTGTATCTCATGGACGGAGAATAGAAAAATCCATGTTAGTATAAAAGTGTTCAACTAATTAAATTTGTGTAAATTATTTAGGATTTTTCTAATGATTGAGCAGTTGTTAACACATATAAAATTCACCTAATCTATCATGTATATATGCATACTAACAATTATCGACTTTTCTTGCATTTATATACTTTCTCTATTTAATTTTACCTACTCTCTCTTGTATATTTATTTACTTTCTCTAATTAATTTTATATTTTCAAAAATATAACAGTTGAAATATATCTTAATGAGTGTCCAATTAGCACCTATTAGATAAATCCAAATATTTAATGGGTTTTTCTAACGGGTGCTGCCCATAGAGCACCCATATAATATTCAATTAACCTATCATATATATACACGCATATTAATAATTATTACTCATTCTTGCATTTATGTATTTTCCCTACTTAATCTTACATGTCCTCTCTTATATTTATTTACTTTTTCTAATTAATTTTACATCTCTAAAAATATGACACCTGAAATATATATTAACGTGTGCTCTGTGAGAGCCATTAGATAGATAGGTACTTAATATTACAATGCTACAGCTTAAGGTTAAATGCAGATGCATGTACATTTAATTGGAGCAATACTGACATCGATAGGCAATAGCAAAGTCACCAAATTGGTCAATTCGAACAGAATAAGATAAGCACAATCCAACTACTAAGAGAGGTACGCACACCGCAATTCCACACTTCCGTGAACCATTTTATTTGGATTTCTTAATTGGGAAACTCTTTTGGCTTAT